ACTGGTCTGGTGTGAGTCCGTAATCTGTTCAAAAATGGTGCCCTCCTGAGGGCAGAAAACTTGAGCCCTGACCCCTCCCGGATGGAGGCGAGACCACCAGAGAAGGAAACGGCTTGAGCCAGGGGGGGCTACGGTTAGACAGGTCCTCCTCCTCCTCCCCCCCCCCCCCCCCTCCTCCCCCAGCATCGACTTCCACCTCCCGACCTCCACCCCCCAGCATCGACTTCCACCTCCACCTTCTGACTCCCAACCTCCACCTTCCGGCTCACAACCTCCACCTTTCGACTTCCATCCTCGGGCTTTAGACCCCCAACCTCATTCACATGCATTTCCGACAGGTTCTACGGTTCTTGGAAAGGCTAAGGACGTGGGCAAAGCTACCACTACCGCAAGCAGTTCGAGATCCACTCCAGTGCCGATTCTGGAAACGAAGCCACCTACATGCACAAGACGTTATCCTACTTGCAGTGGCACAGTACCTCTGCAGGGATGTGCGGATCCACGCCTTCGTCATCCGCTTCTGGTTTCTCCGACTCTGGCCTCTCCGACGCCGGCGACACTTGCACCCGCAGCTTTCGACCTCCAGCTCCCGCCAGCTCAGCACCCCGCCCTCGAGCCTGAAGGATCCGACTTTCCACCTCCAGCTCCACCTCGATTCCTCCACCCTCCACCTCACCAAACTGACCTCCAGCTCCCAGATTCTGACTCACTGTGTCCATTACCAACTATCGAATTCCAACCTTCCACCTCCAGCCTTCGACCTCCACCCATCGACCTTCAGCCTCACCCAGTCGACCTCCAGCTTCCACATTATGACTCTCAACGTCCATAACCAGCTATCGACCTCCACCACTCCACCTCCAGCTTTCGACCTCAGCCTATCGACCCTCAACCCCACCCGACCAGCGTCCAGCTTCGACATTTCGATTCCGAGCTTCCACCACCAGCTATCGTCCCACAGTCTTCGACCTCCAACTTTCGATCTCCATCTACCGAGTTTCAACCCCACCTGGCCGACCTCCAGCTTCGACCTTCCGGCCCAGAGCGCCCACCACCAGCTATCGACTCCCATTATTTGACTCCCACCTTTCAACCTCTACCCATCGACCCCCAACCTCACCCAACTGGCCTCCAGCTCCCAGATTCTGACTCACAGTGTCCATTACCAGCTATCGAGTTTCAATATTCCACCTCCAGCCTTCGACCTCCACCCATCGACCTTCAGCCTCACTCATACGACCTCCAGCTCCCATAGTATGACTCTCAGCGTCCATTACCAACTATCGACTTCCACCACTCCACCTCTAGCTTTCGACCTCCACCTATCGACCCTCAACCACACCTGACCAACGTCCAGCTTCGACCCTTCGTCTCCGAGCGTCCACCACCAGCTCATAGCTCCGACCCCCAGCAGGAGCAGCAGCTCCAACGCAACACTGGTGGAGGGCGAGGACGATACAGCAATACCGAGGGCGACCTACCTACATGTTTTCAGCCTCCACACCCTCCACGACAGCGACAGGTCACAACCAACCAGCACGACGCGACAACACCTACATCAAGGACGGTGCATGCAAACGCTGACGACCAAACAGAGGAAACTACCGCCTTCCTGGAAACCCGCATCGATGAAGCAGTGACGATAATCTACAGAAACGCCCGGAGCCTCACCAAAGACGCGGCGATCGATTTATTGATATGTGAGCTTACGGATACCCACTGGGACGTTTTGGCACTCAACGAAACATGGCGGACTACGAAGCAAGAGTTCTGGATTACCAGGCTTGGTGGACATGTATTCGCAGCTGCTGGGCACGAACATCAGCCAAGGGGCGTCGCTTTCTTAGTCTTGGTCATTCACGACACGCCCGACACATCAAGAACTTCACGGCTGTGAGCGAGCGGCTTGCCTACATCGACATCGACCTGCCGCAGTGCCAACTCGGGATCACCACGGCTTATTTTCCACACGGTGGATATGGAGATCAGCATTTCCAAAGCATGTACGATATGATTACCGCAATTCACGCCGATACCACGAATATGAAGCGAACGTTCATATTCACAGGCGATTTTGATGCGCAAGTGGGAAGACGGAGCGACAACACCGACGACGATATCATCCACAACGCAGAGAAACGAGCTATCTGCAAGTACGGTCAGAGCGGGTGTAATCAACGTGGCGCTTGGCTACGATCATGGGCGTGCATGCGCAAACTCATCATCACAAACACGATGTTCCGCAAGCGCCCTCGTAACGTTTTCATGTACACACATTCGGGTTCGAAACGCACGCAAACACAGATCGACTACATCCTTATGGATCAACGAGCTCGGCATCTAGTGCTCGACGCGTTTGCATCGTCAACTCCCGACCTCGGATCTGATCACCAAGCCGTACACCTCCGACTTGCTGTGGACAGCACAAAACACCGACCGCCACGACGGAAGATACGAAAACGCAAACAAACACGTCACCACCCACCTCGACCTGACGACCCAGATTTCCAGCACCACTTGCGACAGCATCTGTCCATCGATGATCCACCGCACACACACACACACGCACACACCGAACAAACGATAGCAACAGCGTACCAAGAGTTCCAGGTGGAACAACAGCAACACCAACACCAGCAAACATACGACAAGGAAGAAGACGACGACGAAGCCACCAGACTCCTACGAACTCTCATCAAGCAACGCAGGAACACACCGCATTCCGACGCAGCAGCCAGAACATCCTTTAGCAAATGCATTATGCGACAGCAGCGGCTTATCAAGAGAGCCCAAAGACACACAGAATTGAATGAGATTGTTCGCAACTTCCGAGGCCTCAAAAAGATATCCGGCAGAAAGTCCGGAAAAAGCCAAGATGTGATACCCTGCACGGCCACGAAGGACGGTGACAGCGAGACGGACCGCCAAGGCATCGCAGACATCTTCACCGACATCTACTAGCAGTTGTACAGACGTTGCGCAGAGGCCAACGTACCTGCAGACGCCCAGCCTCACAGAGCGCAAGAACACGCACAACGTCACGCACACCAAGGGACCCCACACTTCACCAAAGAAGAATTGCACCATGCAGCGATGCAACTTAGAAGCGGCAAGTGTAAAGACACACCCGGTATCACCGCGGAGCTACTCAAGGCCGGAGGAGACGGCATCGAATCGCACTTGTTGAAGCTATTCAACGGCATTATAACACTTGGGCGAGAGCCCCCTGAGCAATGGAGACGTACAACAATTAGTGTCATCTACAAGTCTGGCGATCCGCAACTGCCCCAAAACTGTAGACCAATAGCCATTACCCCATTACTATACAAATTGATGTCTCGACTATTTCGTAATCGGCTAGAGGCGAATTTCGAGTCTGAACAATCGACTGACCAAGCTGGATTCCGCAAAGGGTTTTGCACAGAAGACCACCTCTTCACCGCGACTTTACTATACGAGCAGTCATATGAGTAGCAACTCCCCTTAGGGGCCGCTGCAATCGACTTCAAAAAGGCGTTTAACTGCGTCGACCTCCAACACCTTTGGAACGCATCTCGACAGCAAAACGCTCCAGACTCTTACATTTCCTTACTGCAGAGCTTCTACAATGACCAGACCGCCACAGTTAAGACCGACGTCAACAGCAGGGAATTCAGCATTTAACGCGGGGCCAAACAAGGTGACCCGCTTAGCTCCTACCTCTTCAACGCGATGCTCGAGCACATTTTCCGACAGATCAAGCCTTCTTGGGAATGCAGAGGCTTTGGCATCAAATTGGGACACGCCAGGCTTACGCGACTCACCAATTTACGGTTTGCAGACGACGTACTTCTCCTTGCACCGAACTTACGACAATTAAAAGTCATTATTGCTGACCTCGAGAGAGAAGCCGGGAAGTGCGGGCTTGCATTACATCCGGGCAACACCAAAACCCTTAGCAGCCTCACCAGAAAACAAGGGCGAACCATCACACACACCAGTACTGACGGCGACGACATTGAGATTTTCAGCACAGACAAGGCAGCCAAATACCTCGGCCCGCCAGCTCACGTTTCACGACAACGATTACCACCAAACTGAGCTTACCAACAGAGTTGCGACAGGATGGCGCCGGTTCAACCAGCTCCGCGACGAGCTCACCAGCAAACGATACCCACTACACAGCAGGCTCCGCCTTCTCAACGGAACAGTGACGCCTGCTGTCATGTACGGCTGCGTATCTTGGACGATGACCAAGGACATGCTTCAAACGCTGACGCGCGCTCAACGACGGATGCCGCGACTCATCGTACAAACCCCACGACGTCGAGCAGCCCGTAATAGCACAGCGATCGACAACATTGACAGCACCGAAGCAGGGGCGCACGTAGACGTTGGAAGCGAAGCCAAGACGAGCTTGGACGACAATGACGACGACAACGAATTGCAAACCGAGGGTGGCGACGACGACTCCGACCTCGAACCTTGGGAAGACGTTATCCGCAGAGCTACGCACACAGCAGCAGATTTTGCACAAAGGGCACGCGTAGATGAATGGGCGACGGTGTACTTTCGTCGAAACTGGCGGTGGGCAGAACGAGTCGCAAATCAATCGTACAGCAGATGGGCCCGACTTGGTGCGACGTGGGAGCCGGACATCCACGACCACCTGCAAGCAGTCCGCAGACATGGGGGTCAGAGGAAACGGTGGGAAGACAATCTCACACAATTTTTGACAGCTAGCATGCTCCTCCAAGCTGGCAACGGACGATGGTTTACGATAGCACAAGACAACACTCAATGGAACAATCTTGCACAAGCATTCCTACGCCACACACAGCACTGACCGCAAGTTTCACATCTGCAATTGAGGGCCCCGACCCGCCCGCGCCTGCCTTTCAGGCCCCGTCCCCTGGCGAACTCAGGCGCGCCTCGCCTCGCCTCGCTCCTCCTCCCCCCTTTCCTCCCCCCTCCTCCCCCTGCCGCCTCTCGTATGTCCCCTTGGATGTTGCCCGCCCGAGGTGACCGACCTGGCCCGGGTGCTGCACAGCATGGGCAAGCGCGAGCCAGCGTGACGCAGCCGCCCATGAAGTCGCCCGCGGGAGCGCGGCTCGTCTCGCGAGTGAGGCCCCGCCGAGGCTGTCCCTCAGGAGGCTGAGGAGGAGGACGAGGAGGAGGAGGAGGAGGAGGCGGAGGAGGAGGAGGAGGAGGAGGAAGAGGAGGAGGAGGAGGAGGAGTTTTCCTCCCGTGGGCGGACAGTGTCCTGGGTGCTGTTGGAATCCTTCGTTGCCTTGGGGCGCCCTGGCCACATTCCTCTCTCAAGCATCTGAAGGTTGCCGGCGCCCGCCTGGGAGGACGGGCCGCACTCCCCCGCCAGGCCGCGTGGCTCGGGCGGACCACTCTGTCCGCGACACGAGTGCCAGGGGGCACAGGAAACGAACTCTCCAAGATCTCAGTCTGGACAGGCACGCACTGGAAGGTCAGCCACCCGGCCACCTCTTGGCGGGTTCCTCCGCGGCTCTCCAGGCAGCGGCGGCACGAGAATCGGGAGCCTTCCTTCCCCCCCGACCTTTGGGCCGCACGGCCTCGTGCGCTACCCCAGCAATCAACACGTCATACTTGCTTTCTCGAGTAAGCCTCTGCTTGGGCGGCGCGTGCACGACCCTGCCAGGGCCACAAGCGTCACAACGAGCACAGTCCTCGAGCACCGCCACTTGCCTTGTTGTTCATGCGCTCCACCTCGCAAACCTCTTTCAGTCTCTGCTTCAAACAGCTGAGACTTGTGAGCGGCATCCTCGGCCTGGCGGTCGACCATATCATTGGCCTGTCTTCTGAGCTCGGGGATGCCTAGAAATCTGCCTCTGTCCCCAGACGCGGGGGATCCCACAGTGTGAGTAGTCAGTTGCGCTTCTCCGAGGGCATCCTGAGGGTGCCCTTGAACGGCGTCTCGCACAACATAGCTAGAACATGTGATGAAATTCAAGGCTCTACCAGGGCTGGCGCATATTCCCACCCAGCGAACTAACGCCAACAGATAAGCCCGATTGATCGTCTGCATCGGCCCTGGCAGGCCTCCAACCAGGCCTTGAACCTCCTAGACTTGGTCCCAGGTCAAACTCGAGCACTCCTGAGCCAGCGTGCTGCAACCCCAAGAGCAGCAGCAAACTCGAGTGTCCTGAGAGTACCGTCCCCGGACCCGTCCCCAGCTCCCCACCACTCCGTCCCACTAATTGGTCCGCTGCCATCCGCATCGTAGGACCAGTTCCACTCAAGATGGTTCTCGGATGGTGGGGTAGCCTCGACCCAGGCCGACGACATGAGACCGCGCAGCCAGAACACAGGGCAGACACTCCATGCATCTCTCGCACGGGCCTCGAGGTCAGCTGCGCCGTTACAGTCCTGGAGAGTCTCGTTCGCTGCGCAACCCCACATTCGGTGAAAATCAGTCCCCACCACTTGGGCAGGGCAACGCTGACATACCGATCTGAGTGCCGTTCTGGTGCATGTGCGGGCGATTTTGGTTCTACATGTGCGCTCGTTGTGCGAGCATGTGCGCGGCATGTGCTCCGCATGTGCGGATGTGTTTTTTGATTTCGGAGCGTTATGATCTAGTAGCGTTTGCACATGTGCGGCCATGTACGGGTGCATGTATTCTGAGTGTCTCCACCACTGTTCCGGTCCGGTCCCCGCCCTTGAGCATTGTCTGCGACTGTACGCGCATGTGCATGGCGTGCGCGGGAACCCTGTTGTGCAGTATGTATGAGCAGCGTTACATACATCGGGCGACACAGTGGGCGCACACATGGCACCGTTCGTGGCCGCGCAGCTGCACAGGGCTGCGCGCGGCCGCACGTGCCCGCACGTGCCCGCACAACTCCGCACAGCAGGCCGCACATGCCCCCCTGCCCCCGCCCCATGGCCGCGCACCCCGTAGCGGACGACCGCACATGCCCGCACATGGCGCCGCTCGTGGCCGCGAGGGGGTGCGCGGCCGCACGCGGCCGCACATGCTCGCACAGCGCCGCAATGGGGAGAACAAGTGGGAGCAGGGGCAGGAGGAGGAGCAGCAGGAGGAGGAGGGGGAGGGGGAGGGCGGCGTCCGACGGACTCTAGCGCCTTCATTTCGCCAGGAGGATGATGCGGAGGAGGAGCCAGAGGAGAAGGACGAGGAGGAGGAGGAGTAGGCTTGCTGGTTTCAGGAGGTGGCGCTTCCTGCCAGCTGGGCGATGACAGTCACTTTGCGGAGACCCTACAGGGTCTCCCCTTTTCTCCCAGGGCCCCGCTGCGCAAACATTGTGCCAAGCATGTTCTTGGCACGTGCGGAGACGGGATTTTCGGGCGGCGCCCGCGGGCCCCCGTGGGCCTGACATTGATTTGCCTTCTCTCTCGGACATTTTAGAGGGGTTGTCCGGGTTGCTCGGGAGGGCGTTCCGGCTAGTTCTGTTTCTGCGGATGTATGGCGGGTGTGGCCATGCGCGGGCATGGCGGGCTTTTCCTGACCAGCGACCAGGTGGGCATGGATCATCGAGACGAATAGCATGTGCGGGCACGTGCGGGGAGGCGGTGGTTTTAACGCTGCCGCGCACAGAGGCGCACAGGTGGGCGTGCACGTAATGTGCGGCATGCGCGCAGAGTCAAGCCAAACATCAAGAAAAAAACATTCAAATGATCATTATGACAATGAGCCCTGTGTACCTCGTGCATCCTGCCCCTGGACCAGCTTGCGGCCGTGGCCACCGCAATCAGGGATCTTCGGAGCATGAGGGCCTGCTGGGAGGCCTTGCGATCCAGGGCAAGCTACTACTTGCGGATCGAGTACGCACCGGCGCAGCCTTCGGCCCCCGCCCCCGCCCCCTGGCAGCGGGCAACCACACGACGCCACAACCTAGCTCAGACCGTCAGGAACACCTTTCGCACAACAGGTTCAAAGTCAATGAAATCGTGATCTGGAACTCCAACCTCCAGGCGGTGCCCGCGGGGGCCAACCATTGTCAATTCTGTGAGTCCTGCCGGAGCCTGCCGTGGTCTAGGAAAACCGCCCCCCGGAGATGGGCCTTGAGACCCTGGCCCACCTTCGGCGAGCCTTGGCCCGCACGAGCCTCAGGGCCACCTTGGGCCAGCTACGGTGAAGCCCATCACGGACCTGGGTGGCAAGAGAGGGGCCGGCAGCGAGCTCCAAAAAGCTCGTGAATTGGTTGGGCATACGTTCCACTGCCCGCACGCGCTGACGCAACTCTTCAGCAATATACGCGGTCACGCACTTGCCCTTCCTGGGCCCCCCGAGGGCCGCACCCATGGCCGACTGGGTTTGCAGAACCACTGAGAGCGCCACGCCGCGAACCAAGGCCCCGCAATGGAATTTGGGGGCAGGAGACATCAACACATTGTTTCTTGGCACGGCGCAAACGCCCGACCTTGGAAATACGCTTGACGTTGCGCAAATGCTTCAAATTCTTAGCTACTCTCTTTGATCGTGCTTAATACGCGACTTGCGGCCTGAGCCTGCAACCGTATTGGATGGATGGCTTGAAATTGGAGCGACCTTCGGACCCTTTTCCAACAACACGGGAGATTCCGCGCGCAGGCTACAGGGAATTGGCAACCGCAACCGATTTCTCCGAGATGTCAGGTCCGATAGCCGTTGTACTCACAGAGAAGAAGCTACAAGCCGGTTCCGCAAGGGCTGGGACGATGACGTTGTATGGGCCTTCAGACCTCTGGTCAATATCATCAACCCACTGGCGCAGAGCAGACCAATCTAGCAATGCATTCAGCACGCATTCGCTCTAATGTATCAACAAGGACCGCCCTAGCAAAATGATTCACATCCCCATCACCCGTGAAGATAGATGCCGTGAGCTCGATCGGCCTGGAAATCCCACCCCTTGCTTGGATGCACCGGGGGCGATGTAAAGCACCAGCGAGAGCCCCGCGGATACATCAGGAAAGCCCAGAGCCAGAGCGGCATTAAGGGCCAAGAGCGTACCCAGGGAATCACACACTTGGGCGAAATCCCACGTCAGGCTTTTGTGAGCCACTCCTGGGGCCTCGGCTGGATCGTCGAGATAAATGCTTAGCATCCCGCACCTTAGGGCTGAGCTCCCGATCCTCGCCCCGTCGTCTGCCGAATGACTCGCACCAGGCCAGGCTCGCGATGTCGGCTGTGTCTACCTACTTATACCCTTCCAGGTGGGTCTCATTGACCAGCTTCCTGCACCGCTCGCGATGACGCCGGAAACGCAACGTTTTGACCGCGCCCGACCAGCGGCCAGCCCACTTGCGCCTCTTGATCTCCATCATGGAGTTGATGTCGCCGCTGACCCTCCCGAGCAACTCATCTTCGCATGCGCCGACGTCCGCGAGGCCGATCTCCGTCACAGGCACCGTCTCATCATGTGTCCAGCTGATCAGTTTCCCAGACCGCTTGGCCGCACACTCCATCACCCAATCATGACAAGCAATTGCGTTCTGTCGCACATCCGCCGCGTGAGCCTTGTCGGCCACATCTGCCAGAACCTTAGCCATGTCATTGGCCTGCCTGGCTGTCCAGCTGCGTGCCTGACGAAGGGCACCAGTCCACCTGCCTCGCGTCCAAGATGATCTGCAGCGCATCCCTTCCCGCCTCGGTGAGACGGGGTTCAGCCAACGCGCTGGCATACATCTGTGAGCACGCCGCCATCGTAGTCCACCATGCCGCCGATCTGTTGACTCCGTTGGCTTCTCCCTTGGGCGGCCTCAGAGGTATCATCTTCGGCGTCCGTGGGAGGGCTCGTCCGCAATAAGTGCCGTGCAGCTCATGCTCCAGGCCCATCGTGCGCACCAGGTACCTCTCCATCTTGGTGGCCCACCTGCCATAGAGGTCCCCCACCTCGACAGGCCCACACTCGCCAGTGACGAACGCCATCGATTCCCTGATGCAGCCTGAGGGCTCACTCCATGCCCTGTGATCTGCACACAGTCGCGCCACCTGCCGAAGGCGCTCACGGTCATCGTTTGTCAGGTGAGGAGGGAGTTGCTTAGCTGGAGGCTGCGATTCGATACCTGCCAACTCGACATGACCAGGTCTTGCCCCCAT